TTAGGGTTTTCCCAATAACAGATCTTTGCCTTCTGTTCTGGGGCATACCCAGACCAGGGGGGCTTTAGGGTGTCATGAGCCCTGAGGGGGTCACATGGGCTGCGGTTAAGTAGCTATCCCCCAAGCTGGTTCCAGGGGCGGGTTGAGGTCAGGATGGCAAGAAAGTGGACACTGAGGGGCCACCTTGGAGCAGTCCCTGATTGTAAAGCCCAAGATTTAGCTTTCAGAGTTGGCCTCAGCCTGGAGCTCCAGACAGATGCCTGGAGTCCAGGGGCTGGAGGGGCGAGGACGGGCTGGGCAGGCGGATCGGACCCCTCTCCCCGCTGCCAGGTGCTGACCTGCGCCTCCTGCAGCTGGCGCTGGAGCAGCGCTGCCGGGAGCTGCGCGTGCGGGGCCGACGCCTGGAGGAGACGCTGCCCCGGCGCATCGGCTCCGAGGAGCAGCGCGAGGTGCTCAGCCTGCTGTGCCGCGTGCACGAGCTCGAGGTGGAGAACACCGAGATGCAGTCGCACGCGCTGCTCCGCGACGGTGCGCTCCGCCACCGCCACGAGGCCGTGCGCCGCCTGGAGCAGCACCGCAGTCTCTGCGACGAGATTATCCAGGGCCAGCGGCAGATCATCGACGGTAGGGCCCACGCCCCCGCGCATCTGAGCCACCCGCGGGGGGGCCGCTGGCACTCGCTGAGCCCTGCCCCTTCCCCGGCAGACTACAACCTGGCTGTGCCGCAGCGCCTGGAAGAGCTCTACGAAGTGTACCTGCGGGAACTGGAGGAGGGCAGCCTGGAGCGGGCCACCATCATGGACCAAGTGGCCTCCAGGGCCCTGCAGGTGGGTGGGCGCCTGGGTGGCCTGAACATGGGCACATGTGCCCAGGGAGGGGCTGATGACCGAGGCAATGCCTGCAGGCAGCTGGAGGGGACAGGACCAGGCTGGCTGGCACCCCAGGGAATTGACTCCCTTTCCTTCTTACCCTACCCAAAGCCTTGTCGAGCCTGAGTAAGACCCTCATCCCTGAGCACTCCTGGGCATCGCTTGTTCCCACCCAGGGTCTGAGGGTCAGGGCTGGCCACCTAAGATATCACAAATGGCCCCAGGTGCCCTTGCAGGAGACCAAGCATCAGGCAGTGCCACTGGGGATGCCTAGCAGACCACAACTTATCCCCGAGGACCCAAACACCAGCCCACTGCCCTTCTGGGGCTCCCAGGCCATCTTACAACCCTCGTCACCCTGTGAGCCTTTGTGACTCTGTGCTGATTTGGTCCAGGACCAAATCTTCTAACTGTCCATCCTGGCTCCCTCCTCCCCAGGACAGCTCCTTGCCCAAAATTACCCCAGCAGGAGCCTCGCTGACCCCAGATTCTGACCCGGAGAGTGTGAAGACACTGAGCTCTGATGCCCAGCGCCTGCAGAACAGTGCTCTCCCTCCCCTCAGCACAGAGAGGTGAGAAGGGGGGCCACCTGCCCCAGCCCCCACCCTGTGCCCTGTCCCAGAGAGGCCAACCCAGACGAAGGCTAAATGGTGAACATGGAGCAGCAATGAGAGGGAGCAGGTGGCCCAGGTCTGGAGCCAGGACTCCTGGGTTCTCTCTCCTTTCACACTGACAGCTTCTCCCCGGGGGTGGGGGTGGGACCTCGGTGAGACAGCCTGGTCTACAGCCACTCATCTTCCTCTGCCAACTTCAGTGAAGGCCACCACGTGTTCAAGGCTGGTACTGGGGCGTGGCAGGCCAAAAGCTCCTCTGTGCCCACCCCACCTCCCATCCAGCTCGGCAGCCTGGTGATGCAGGAGGTGAGCTCTCAGTACCTGATGGCCCCATGAGCTCCGCTGCAGTGGGTGCGGGACACGGGGGTGGACAGCAGCAGTTGGGATGGAGCCTTTCCCAAACGGCACCAGCCTGAGGCCCCGCTATCTCTGCTGAGTGGGGCATGGGGTCCCTGCTGTGTTTAAGGGTTTCCTCCTCCTAACACTCCACCTCATAGGCCCTGGCTCAGGACAGCCTGGGCAGCTGGATCAGCTCTTCCCCCGACAGCAGTGAGATCCTGTTGGAGATCCCCTTGTCCCACAAAGGTATGTGTGCCCTCTGCTGCCCTGGCCACCTCGCCTGGCCTTGTCTAAACTGTTCAGATCACCCAGTCCAAAGCCCTTTCCTGCCCTCTTCACTGCCAAGTGCAAGCATGCATTGGGTCCTACACATTCTGAAGAGGCACCATTGCCCCTGAGGATTAGTCAGTCAAGGACACTTAAGGGTCCTCTCTACATCAAGGAGAGACCTTGAGGCAAAAAGGTCTCTTTTTTAGAGAGACCGGGGCAAAACTGGACATTAGAAAAGAGACATGTGGCATGGAGGATGGTGACCCCCACCCCGCCGCCGCCGCCTCCACTCAGTCATCACTCTAATAGCAAATATCAATTCAATGTCTACCCCCTGGAAAATGTAGGTTGAGCCCATTTTCTCAATTAATCCTGGAAATAACCCGATGGCATTAGTTTTGCCATCCCCCATTTGCAGATGAAAGTGAGGCTCAGAAATGGGCCCAAGTTTCTTGCATAGCAAACCCCTGGAAAGTGCTGGGGTTGAAACCCAGGCAGTCTGGCTCCTACCTACTTCTGCCATGTCAGAGGAGGCTGTTAAGAGGTGGCCTTGATCTCGGGTTGGGGGTTCCCTGTGTCCCGCTGCAGAGAGGAAGGAGATCATGACTGGCACCAAGTGCATCTCGGTGAAGGCCGCCCGGCGGCGCTCGCAGGCCCTGGGCACCGAGGGGCGACACCTGCTGGCACCTGCGACAGAGCGCAGCAGCCTGTCCCTGCACTCGCTGAGCGAGGGCGACGATGCGCGGTCACCAGGCCCGCTGGCCTGCAAGCGGCCACCCAGCCCCATGCTGCAGCATGCTGCCAGTGAGGACAACCTGTCCAGCAGCACGGGCGAGGCCCCGTCTCGGGCAGTCGGGCATCATGGGGACGGTCCTGGGCCCTGGCTGCGTGGCCAGAAGAAAAACCTGGGCAAGAAAAGGGAGGAGTCGCTGGAGGCAAAGAGAAGGAAGCGGAGGTCCCGATCCTTCGAGGTCGCCGGGCAAGGGGTGAGGCAAGGCGCAGGGTGGGGTGTCTAGGCACTCCCATAGCAGCTGGGGGCCTGAGGGCTGGATTTCTCCAAAGGCTCCAGGGCACCTCTAGCCTACCCCACACCTGGAGACACCACCCTCCACAAAGTCTCTGTCCCCAGCCTGGTATAGTAGCTGGGACAGATCCTGGTAGCAGATCCCTGTGCCGCTCTCATCCTCACCCCACTGTTCAACCATCACAGCTCTCCCACCCCAAGACACACCTCCTGGGGTCCCATCAGGCGGAGCGCATCTCAGACCACAGGATGCCAGTGTGCAGGCACCCAGCCCCTGGTATCCGGCATCTGGGAAAGGTCACACTACCTTTGGCCAAAGTCAGGCTCCCTCCAAGCCAGAACACGGGTCAGTATGGGCAAGGAGGGGATGGGGAAGGGAGGTCTCCCCCAGGCCGGGCAGCAGAGAAGACACATTGCATTTCCTGCGCCCCTGGCTGCCCCTTGCTGGAAGCATGGTTCTAGCAGAATATCCATGAGACTGGCATCTTGGCGTTGTGCCCATAGAGAGTTCAAGGCCACAGGGTGATGGGAGAGGAGTTGGGGAGGCATTCCAAAACCACTGATCCTGCCCCTTTCCCTGTTGCAGGCCCCGGGGACTCCTCACCCCTGGCTGTTCCCCCCAACCCAGCTGGTGGTTCTCGACGGGCTACCCGTGGGCCCCGCCTGCCCCACGGTACAAGCACCCATGGCAAAGATGGATGCTCCTGGCATAACTGAGGGGCCCTGCCTGGAACTGGCTCTCTTGCCCCCCAAGACTGAATGGGGCCTAACAGGGCATGGGAGGTGGAGGCTGGGCAGTGGAGATGACCAGGAAGTAGGAGCTCAGGATCTCAGCAGGCCGGGGCTCCTGAGACCCAGGAACTGGGGTGTCTGCCCAACCCTCCCATGCTTTCAGTGCCACCGGGGAAAAGAGGTGAGGCCAGGGGACATGGCCGGGATGGCTGGGCTCCCTGGCCTCCCAGCCCTGGACAGAATGCTGTTGCCAAAACCCTGCACAGCCATGAGGCCAGCCTTGGCCTTGGAAATGGAGGAGAGCAGCTGGCAGTGAGATGGGGCTCCTGGCCCACGTGTGGGGCATGGGCATCCTGGATGGTTGGGGAGGCACCGACAGGCACTTCACTTATTACAATTGGGGATGTGGGTGAGGGAGGGAATCTGGTTTTGTTACTTGGCAGTGGCCTTTTCTCCCCTTTCCTTTTTAACAATAAAATCTCATTTGGGTCTTGATGGTTGTGTTGGAAATTTTACCTTGTCTGGAATGTGGGGTGGCCATGACTAAGATTCCACCAACTCCCCCTCCCCCCGGTCCCCATCTACCCCTGGCTCACTGTATAACACCAACCTACAAATACCTGCGGGAGAGGGGTTTTGTTGTAGATCCTGAGGACTCTCCCCAGGGTAGGGCTGGCAAGATCCATTATGTCCCTATCCCACTGGTCTTCACACCTGCCCAGGCACCCTCCCAGGAGAGATCAGGACTTGGAGCGGCCCAGATGCCAGAAAGTCTCACAACCCAGATGAGGCGGTTGCGCCTCAAGGTCAGGGCTCAGAAACTGCCCAGCTAAGCCCCTCAGCCTCAAAGTGAGGAAACTCCTGCAAGGGGAATGGGGCATTCCCTGACTCCCTCGCAAGGGGAATGGGGCGTTCCCTGACTCCCCAGCAAGGGGAATGGGGTGCTCCCTGACTCCCCTGCAAGGGGACTGGGGTACTTCCTGTCTCCCAGGCAGGTGGGTTGCTGTGACCACGTGGGTGCTTTTACCTAGCCTAGTTCTGTGTCTGGGTTGGGGGGAAAGCTCAACAAAGGGGAGTGAAACCCCTAAACCCCCTGGCTTGTGGGATCCTCCCCAGGTTGTTTTTACCCGGAAACTGAGTGGTTCAATCATCCCCTTACCACTCTGAGCATCGGTTTATTCAGGACCAAGAATGTTCCTTCAAGTCAGCTGTGAAATCAGCTCTTGAAACCAGGCATCTTGTCTACCACGCCTCACCTGGACTCCACCCCAGCCCTAGGGTGGCCGGCACCTGGCCATCCAGGGTACCAGGCTTGTTGCCACCTCCACACTCGCCTTGCCCTTCCCAGACCCACAAGGAGCACCTAGGCCAGGCCTTTACTCCCCGACCCCGAGGCTACTTGGGGGTCCGGATAAGGGTGTGGTATACGGGCTTGACGATGAGGTGCAGGTGCAGGGCGTTCTCCACCAGGTACTCTGAGTTGCGCCGCTGCAGGTCGGCGTGCGCCAGGAAGTCGCCGGCCTCCTCGCTGCTCTGGTGGAAGCTGTAGGCGTGGCGGACCAACAGGCGGCCCTGCTGGCGCGCCCCCACCAGCACGGTCTTCTGGAAGCTCACGCCCGCCGCGTCGCCGCCGCTGCTGGCCGGCGTCACCACCAGCCGCGGTCGGCCGTCCTCGGGGCGCGCGGCGGGCAGCGCTGTGCCTGCGGCGTCCGCGTAAACGGGCCGCAGACTGACGGGCAGCCAGCGCGGCGAGAAGAGCACGTTCCAGGTGACCCGGCGGCCCGCGTCGTGGCCACTCGGGCCCAGCTGCGTCTGGAAGCTGGTGCTGCGGTCGTCGCGGGCCGGGTTGTTGATGACCCACGGGGCGCCCCAGGCTGGCGCGAGGTAGTTGCGGGGCAGGAAGGCGCTGCCGTTGACGTCGAAGAACTTGGCGTAGTGCAGCGGCGACGCGGCGTGGAACTGGTAGGCCTGCAGCAGGAGGTCGGCCACCGCGGGGCCGTGGCGCGCCAGGGCAGCCGAGCGCGCCTGCAGTTGGAACAGTTGTGCCGGTGGGATCATGGGGTAGCGGATGGCGCGCAGCGCCCGCTCGGCTACGGCAGGGGGCGGCCGCGCGCGACCCAGCCAGGCCTCCAGCGCTTGGAACAGCTCCAGTTCGTCCTGCAGCACCAGGTCCGAGCGTTGCAGGAGCTGCCACAGCAGCTCGGGGCTCACGGCGCCCCATTCGGCGCTGGCCACCACGGCCGACAGGTTCCAGGCAAGGAACTGCAGGCAGCTCTCACGCAGGGCCTCGTCCCCGGTGCCCACCGCGTAGTGGTACCAGCCCACCGCCGGGCCCGCGCCTCCAGCCAGGTGCGCGCGCATGTAGTCGGCCACGCCGCGCTGCAGGGAGGCCACGCCGTACTTGGTGGCCAACCTGTGCAGGGGGATGGCCTGGGTCAGCAGCACAGTCAGCTCCCCGCAGTACAGGTACCTGCGGGAGAGACCAAGAGGTGGGGTGGGGTCAGGGCGGTACCCACCTCCCAGCATAGCTTTTTCTGAGTCCACAGGGGACCCGGCCTGGAGTTGGAGCTTCACGGTTCAGGTGCAAATACAGTGGAAGCCCCACCCTGAGGCTTCCCATGTTTTCCTTTCAAGGACCCTTCCAGGCCATTCTTACTTCACAGGCTCTTCTTTCCGTTTCCGTGGTGATGTAGAAATTGCCTGCCTTGACTGTGCCTGTACTAGGCCTGCAGCTCTAGGCCGGAACAAAACAGACGTGGTTCCTGCCGTTGGGGTTTACAGTCTGGTTGGGATCCATGGCCTGCCTTCTCCTTGCCATGAGTCTGGGCAAGTCACTGAATTTCAACGAACCTTAGGTTAATCGATCATCTGGGAAAGGGGGAGTGGCACACACCCCTCAGGGTTACTGTGACAACCAGTGGAGAATAAAAAATCTTGCTACAGGCCAGGTGGGTGCCAGTGGCTCACACCTGGAATCTCAGCACTTTGGAAGGCCAAGATGGGAGGACTGCTTGAGGCCAGGAGTTCAGGACCAGCTTGGGCAACATAGCGAGACCCTATCTCTACCAAAAAAAAAAAAAGTTAAAACATTAGTCATGCGGCCGGGCGCGGTGGCTCAAGCCTGTAATCCCAGCACTTTGGGAGGCCGAGGCGGGCGGATCACAAGGTCAGGAGATCGAGACCACAGTGAAACCCCGTCTCTACTAAAAATACAAAAAAATTAGCCGGGCGTGGTGGCGGGCGCCTGTAGTCCCAGCTACTCAGGAGGCTGAGGCAGGAGAATGGCGGGAACCCGGGAGGCGGAGCTTGCAGTGAGCCGAGATCGCACCACTGCACTCCAGCCTGGGCAACAGCGTGAGACTCCGTCTCAAAAAAAAAAAAAAAACAAAAAAAACATTAGTCATGCTTGGTGGTGCACACTTGTAGTGTCAGCTGCTTGGGAGTCTGAGTCAGGAAGATAGCTTCAGCCCAGGAGTTCAAGGCTGCCGTGAGCTACGATCATGCCACTACACTCCAGCTTTGTTTTGTTTTGTTTTTGTTTTGAGATGGGGTCTTTCCGTGTTGCCCAGGTTGGTCTCAAACTCCCGGACTTGAGCAGTCCTCCCACCTTGGCCTCCCAAAGTGCTGGGAATGCAGGTGTGAGCCCCCATTTCTTTTTTGCAACCTCGCCTTTTGTTTTTCTTCTCCTGCTGTTGATGATCACTTGTGCTGAGTATCTCTCCCTCTCACTTCATCTGCTGCTGTCCCGCTGCTCACCCTTCCTGCCAGTCCCCACTGGCACACGGCACCGCCCTTGCCCCATAGGAGTGTGGCAGCCACTGCCAGCCATCTTCCCCAACATCCATTTCTCCCTTTTCCCCTGCGTGATTGCCTCTGGGAATAAAAGACCACATTTCCCAGGCTCCCTGATAGTGGGCATGGCCATGTGACTAACTGCTGGTCAATGGGCACAGTTTGGGATTTGCAGGAAGGCTGGTTAAATGCAACTGATTCAGGATAACAGGAAGACCCTTTTTGCCCTTCTGTCTTATCCCCCTTCCTGTTGCCTGGAACTTGGAAGCAATGTATGGAATTCTGCAGACATCTCATCTGAGCCGTTAGAACAGAGTTACTTTCTTAGACACTAGTGTGAATGGCACTCCCTGTGCAGCACCATGGCAGGAGGCAGGAGAGAGCCGTCTAACTTTTTCAACTCCCTAGCCCTGTGGTTCCAAACCTGGCCAAACACCAAAACCACAGAGATGCTTTAAAATAAAAAATATTCCTCTATAATGGAATATTTAGGAAAATAAAAAGTAAATAAATAAAATAAAATAAAAAATGATTGCTGGCCCTAACCCTAGACCTGAAACTGATGATCCAGGTTGGGACCCATGAAACTGTGGTTTTTTTGTTTGGTTGGTTGGTTCGTTGGTTGGTTTTTTTGAGACAGAATCCTGCTCTGTTGCCCAGGCTGGAGTCTAGTGGCACAATCTCAGCTCACTGCAAACCCAAACTCCACCTCCCAGGTTCAAGCGATTCTCCTGCCTTAGCCTCCCGAATAGCTGGGATTACAGTTGCACGCCACCACACCCAGCTAATTTTCTATATTTTTAGTAGAGACGGGGTTTCACCATGTTGGGCAGGCTGGTCTCGAACTCCTGACCTCAGGTGATCTGCCTGCTTTGGCCTCCCAGATTGCTGGGATTACAGGCATGAGCCACCATGCCCAGCCCCAAAACTGTAGTTTTTAAAAGCTGTCCCATGGCCAGGTTTGGAAACAGCTCTGAGGGGGTTACCAGGAACTGAAAGTGACATCAAACTGTGCAGATGACACAGGCAAAGACAGGGAGCTGTACAGTGGAAGAAGGGATGCAGGGGTCACTGTCATCCCAGTGATGTCTGGGGAAACGGACATAACAACCTCTAAGGGCCTGGGCTTCCCTGACCCTGTAGGTGGAGGAGCCAGGGACTGAGGAAGGGATGAAGCCTCCCCCTAGTCTTCCCCGTCCCACCTGATGAACTTGTCGAAGACCGCGGCGCAGTCCCGTGGCTCCTGCAGCACCGCCTCGCTCTGGTTACTCAGCAGCTCCCGGAACAGCTCGCTGTGCAGTCCCAGCAGCAGGCGGTGGGCGTGGAAGACCCGGACCTCGTCGGTGCCCACAGCCTGCACCCGCAGAACCACGTCACTGGCGTTGCCCTGTCGCAGCAGCTCCTGCAAGCGCTGGAGCACCGCCTGGGAGTGGTTGATGGAGGTGCCAGCTGCCTCCCCACCAACATCGGCTCTCTGGGCTGCAGCAGGAAGGAGCACAGCACAGCCTGAGAGGGCGTCCGGGCCCAGGACCTCAGTCGGGGGTGGAGAGCGACCAGCTGGAGACATATGCATGGGTGTGAGCAGAGAGCAAGATGGGCCTAGGCAGACTGTGTGTGCACACCTGTTTGTGCCCACGAGGCGCATGGATGCATCTGTGACACACAAACACATCCTGGGTGGGAAGGTCATGCCAGTGCAAACCCCAAGAGGATGCTCTTGGACGTGGGCACATTCAGGCAGGGAGAGGTTGTGCTCAGGTTTGGGACAACATGCCCAGAACTCACCTCCGTGCTGCCAGCTCCCAGGCAAGGGTTGAGGAAACTCGTGGTCCCACCCTTCTCACCTCCTAAAGAATTGTCCATCTAACCCCTTGGAGCAGTAGTCAGAAGTGGTGCCTTCACTAACAAATATTTACTGAGCACTTACTATATGCTAAACATTCTCCTAAGAGCTTGGGATATGGCAGTGGACAAAGCAAGCCAAGTTCTTACGCTCATAAAAGCACAAACTGACATATCAGACAGGTAAGACGCACACAAATAAGCACTCCAGTTTGTAAGGAGCCAGCCAGGGAACCAGTGCCAAGGCGCGATCCAGCCCTGCAAAGGCCCTTGAAGGGAATGGGCCTGGGGTACTGGGAGCAGAGAGAGTGTTAGGGAGGCCAGAGCAGTGGCAGGAGAGAGGGTGTGCGACGAGGCTGCAGGTGTGGAAGGGAAGCTGTTTTCCAGGCCCAGCTCTTCCCTCTTGGGTCCTGATCTCTGAGACAGAAGCCCACTTTCTGTGGGTGGCCAGCAGGGGACAGGAGAAAGTGCAAAGGGCCAGCTGGTGCTGGAACAGAACTTCTGGGTAACTGAGCATCGAGGCCGGCTACGCCGGCCCTTTTCTCATGCTCCAGGGATGAGAATGACAGTCAGATGGGGATGTGCACTCAGTTACAGAAACTGTCAGCAGCTCTCCCAAGCCGAGAACAGCAAGGGGAGCCTTGCTGAGGGAGGCGGGCAGGGGCCTGATAGCAGCAGATGGGCCCCGGCCACATGCGCGCGCACGCACAGCACATGCAGGCCCGTGGTGCACACAGGAGAGAAGGCTCACACAGGAGCAGAGCATCTGTGCATGAGAGAGGGAGGCCAAGGGAGAAAGGGAGGGTGAGAGAGAAGCGGGTAGTGCATTTCCCAGCCCTGCCTCCCCCAGCTGTCACTTTGAAGGACCTGAATGCTGATGGCGTCCCCATTCAGCCTCTGCCCAGGACAATGGGCAATGGAGGGTCCTCTTGTCCTTAAGACCCCTGCCCGCCTGCCCGCCTGGCCCCTCCTTCCTTCAGAGAGATGAGTCCGTGGAGCTGTCCAGTCCACCCCGTGCTCTCCCCAGCAGCTGGACACCGCCCCCTCCCGGCCGGCTGCGTGCAGCCAGGGCTGGGACGTCCTGCTGCTCCACCCTGCCCCGCACCTGGCTCACTGCCCACTCACCTGCACGTGTGACCAGGCCCACCAAGGTCAGCATGGCCCAGAAGCTGCCCCAGGACCCAGGCTTGGAGTAGCCTCTCCTAGGCATCTTTGTGCTCAGCCCCCAAGTCCACTGGAGGGACGGTGAAGCCCAGACCACTCTGCTCACATCCCTCTTCCTTATATAGGATCCAGCACAAGGGGACGGCACCCCCCTTCCTGCCTGGCCTCCCTCCCCCACTCAGCCTCCTCCATGGATTGGTGGAAACTGGCCCCAGCTGTTGCCCAGGCAACCACTTAAGCCAGAGAGCGGCCGCCCCGGGGGCTATTGTGCTGCCTGTGGGCCCCCAAGGGGAACAGATCCGGAACCCTCCTCCCCCAATCTCCTTACCACCCAGCAGGGCTAGCCGTGCCTCTCCCTGGAAAGTTTCAGGCTCTCTGGAGAATAGGCGAGGGGCTCCAGGACCACTGGCAGCCATTGGCCTCCCCCAACCCCAGGCCTCAGCCCTGGCACGGAGCGCACTTGGCAACGTCGTGGCTGGAGCGCCATGGTGAGCCGGCTGCAAAGGAAGGGCCTGGAAGAGGAGAGGAGAGGCGGCTGAGGCTCCCACCCCTCCCCCACTCCCATTTGGGGTGGGTCAGCTCCTCAGAGAAAAGCTCAGGCATCTCTCGAATAGGGGCCCATGGATAACTGGTATCAGTTGCACATTCTTTGTTGGAGAAGGTTCCCGGAGTGCTGTGGGGAGGGTGATGGGCTGGCAGGAAAGTTCTGAAGGGACTGTGACTGTCACCTCCCCCAGGGGCAAGCTGAGCCAGGTGGCAGGGCTGGGCATAGAGCAGATGCCCCCTGCCCCGTGTACCACTGCATGGGCGACCCCTGCCCAGAGCGGAGCTGGCCACCTTCCAGCTCTGCGCTCCAGCCAGCCCAAGGCTGGGTACTGTCTGCCCTGCTGTTTCCTGGCTTGAATTCTCCTTCTCCAAGTGGCCTCAGGTCTCTGAGTTCACCTCCTTGGAAGGCTTCTTTTACCAGCTTCTGTCTTCTTTCCAACTGTAATTTTTCCTTTTCCAGAGTTCCGAGGAGGCATGCTGCAGGCCTGGTGTCTCACTCCCACTGTCGGGAGACTGAGGCAGGGAGCTGGGTTGCAGTCTCAGTTGGGTTAGTGCAGAGGAGTGCTCTTCTAAAAACAAAGGCAACAGAGAGAGGAAGGTGAGGTCTGGAGCTCAGCGGAAGCGTGTGTGTGTGTGTGTGTGTGTGTGTGTGTGGTGGCATGCTGTGAGTCCTCACCTTTGCAGGGAGCCAGCAGGGTCTGCCCCAGCTCTTCGTGGGAGGGACTCTTTTGAGCTTGGCTAACTGAAGTGGGTGGCTCCCAAGGGATCTGACTCAGAGGCAGGGTTCTGGGTTGGGGATGAATTGAATGTTCCTCTCCCTGGCTCTCTGGATCCCAGGGGCCAGCTCGATGCATTGATTTCTGCCTCTGGCTGGCACAGAGACCCAACAGCTCCACCCCCTCTCTGGAGCCACAGAGAGAGCAAGAACTGGGTCTGGCACCTGCCTCGTCCGGGTTGGCAGAGTTGGAGATCTCCAGCCCAGCGGAAACCCCTCCGGCTGCCCTGACTTTCATGCCTGGCTCCCCTCGTCCAAATCCACTATCCCTTGCCCACTGGCTGCCCGCCTGCCCTTCCCATGGGCTGTACCATGCCCTGGCTCAACCCAGCAAGTCCGAGTCTCCATGCAGCAGGGCAGCCCTTGTCCCTGAGGGCATCCCAGCTTCCAAGCACAGTGCTTTCAATAGGAATGTTATTGATGATAAGAGAACCCGCTACTCAGAAAACTGTCGTTTGATATTTGTGCCTCTCAACTCCAGCCTCCTTCAGCCTCTGCATCAGTCATTCTTTGTTTTGTTTTGCTTTTCTAGAGGCAGAATCTCTCAGTCACCAAGGCTGGAGTGCAGTGACGCAATCATAGCTCACTGCAGCCTCAAACTCCTAGGCCCAAGCGATCCTCCTGCCTCAGCCTCCCAAGTAGCTGGGACACAGGCAGTGCCACCATGCCCAGCTAATTTTGTATCAGTCATTCTTGAAGGGTAGCCACCTGCATTAGAATCTCCCATGCTCCACCTTGGAACCGGAATTTTCAGGAGCAGGGTCTGGCTGTCTGTATTTTCTAAGTACTCCCAGACAATTGATACACACACCCCAAGACAAGCTCTACCTACTAGAGTTACATTGGTGGCATTTCAAGTGTGAAGGAAGCTGGGAGGCCCTGGATCATCAAGAAGACCCGGGAGAGTCACCTCTGACTCCCCATCTCTGGCAGGCCCCACCTCCCATTATTTCTAACCTCCCTTATCCCTGGCCCTAAATCGAATGATTTAGAAACTAGCTTTCCACATAGAGGCATGCTCTGTTCTCATTTTCTTAACTGAGCACTGCTGGAGTGTCTGTGTGTGTGTGTGTGTGTTATGCATATGCACACGTGTATGCAGTGTGTGTGCATGTGCATATTTGTGTGCGTGTTGTGTGTGCTGTGTGTGTTATGCATATGCACACGTGTGTATGCAGTGTGTTTGCATGTGCATATTTATATATGTGTGTGTGTGGTGTGTGCATGCATATTTGTGGATATGTGTGTGTGGTGTGTGTACTTGCATGTTTATGTATGGGAGAGTGTCCTGGGGCGGGAGAGAGGAAGCCAGGTGTTTGCCCTGAGCATTCTTTTTTATTTTTCTTTTGAGATGGAGCCTCACCCTGTCACCCAGGCTGGAGTGCAGTGGCGCCATCTCAACTCACTGCAACTGCCACCTTTTGGGTTCAAGCAATTCTCCTGCCTCCGCCTCCTGTGTAGCTGGGATTATGGGTGTGCACTACTATGCCCAGCTAATTTTTTTATTTTTAGTAGAGACAAGGTTTCACCATGTTGGCCAGACTGGTCTCGAACTCGTGGCCTCAGGTGATCCTCCTGCCTTGGCCTCCCAAAGTGCTGGGATTACAGGCATGGGCCACAGTGCTTGGCCAAGTCTTTGAGAGGAAGGATCTGCAGCACTGCATATATATGTATATACACATATGTATATAGATATATATACACATGTGTATACACATATTTATATATATACACACATATACACACACATATATATACACATACACACATATATACATATATACACATACACACATATATACACACACATATACACATATATACACATACACATATATACACACACACATACACACATATATATACACATACACACACATATACACACATGTATACACATATATACACACATATATACACATACACATATATACACACATGTATATACATACACATACATATGCACACATATATACACACACACACATATATACACACACATACACACATGCATATATATACACACACATACACACACGCATATATATACACACATACACACATGCATATATATACACACACATACACACATATATATACACATACACACACGTATACACACATATATATACACATACACACACACACATATATATATACACACACGTATATTGGCTCTGTGGATCTGGGAGCTCCATAATTCCTTGAAGGCAAGTCTGATGAGTTCACAAGCCAGCACCATCCCAGAGAGGAGTGTTACTTCCCGCCCCAGATGGGAGTGTTTATAGCCCAAGCCATGTGTCTGAGGTCTTATGACCAGGAACCTCAGAGGCAGGATTTATTTTTCGAGTTCTGAGTTCTGCTTGACTTTTCTTTTTTCTGATTTTGTTGTTGTTGTTAGAGATGGGGTCTCACTCTTTCACCCAGGCTGGAGTGTGATGGCACTTTCATAGCTCACCACAGCCTCAAATTCCTGGGCTGAAGCAATCCTCCAGCCTCAGCCTTCCAAGTAGCTGGGACCACAGTGTGAACCACTGCACCTGGCTACTTGATTTTTCTTTCCACAACCCCATGTTGTCTTTTTTTTTTTTTTTTTGAGATGGAGTCTCGCTCTGTCGCCAGGCTGGAGTACAGTGGTGCAATCTCGGCTCACTGCAACCTCTGCCTCCAGGGTTCAAGCGATTCTCCTGCCTTTGCCTCCCAAGTAGCTGGGACTACAGGTACCCACTACCACGCCCAGCTAATTGTTGTATTTTTAGTAGAGACAGGGTTTCATCATGTTGACCAGTATGATCTCGATCTCCTGACCTCATGATCTACCCGCCTCGGCCTCCCGAAGTGCTGGGATTATAGTCATGAGCCACCGCGCCCGGCCCATGCTGTCTTTTGGGGGAAGTTTTTCCCGTTGTGATAAGTGATCCCTTTGGACAAGGAATCTCTAGTATTATAAAAGCAATGGAAAACTCTTGCAAGCTTGGGATCAGATGAAGAGTTTCTGAATCTGCAAAGGGGGTGATCAGACACTGGGCTGTGATAACACCTCAGAGGGGTGGGCTCCAGACGCAGCCTGGCCCTACCTGGCATCCTCCTTTGCATCTGTAGTGCTTCCTGTCCTGACTTAGGGTTCCCTGAGTCACTGGGCCGCTTGGATTGGGGACAGGAAATCATGGGTTTAAGTTCTAGGACCCGTGTACTCAGGGGAGCACATAAAGATAAATATGAGGCCAGGCACGGTGGCTCACATCTTTAATCCCAGCACTTTGGGAGGCTGAGGCAGGCAGATCACTTGAGGTCAGGAGTTCAAGCCCAGCCTGGGCAACATGGTGAAACCCTGTCTCTACTAAAAATACAAATTATCAGCCGGGTGTGGTGGCTGGTGACTGTAATCCCAGCTACTTGGGAGGCTGAGGCAGGAAAATCGTTTGAACACTGGAAACAGAGGTTGCAGTGAGCTGAGATTGCACCCCTGCACTCTAGCCTGGGCAACAGAGCGAGACTCTGTCTCAAACAAATAAACAAACAAAAAACCTTAAATAAGAAGGAATCCTTGGCCAGGTGCAGTGGCTCACATCTGTAATCCCAGCACTTTGGGAGGCCGAAGCAGGTGGATTGCATGAGCCCAGGAGCTCGAGACCAGCCTGGGCAACATGGTGAAACACTGTCTCTACAAAAAATACAAAAATTAGCTGGGTGTGGTGGCGCGTGCCTATAATCCCAGCTACTCAGGAGGCTGAGAAAGGAGGATCGCTTGAGCCTGGGAGTTCGAGACTGCAGTGAGCTATGATCACACCACTGTACCACAGCCTGGGTGACAGAGTGAGACCCTGTCTTGAGGTGTGGGGAGGCAGAAGGAAAAAAGAGAGAGAGAGAAAGAGAGAAACCCTTGTGCTCATGCCTGGTAGCTCTGGCTGGACTGATCAGAGCTGAAGACTTCAGAGACCAAAAATGTCAAGGTGTGGCCGGGCGCGGTGGCTCATGCCTGTGATCCCAGCGCTTTGGGAGGCCCAGGTGGGCATATCTCCTGAGGTCAGGAGCTCAAGACCAGCCTGGCTAACACGGTGAAACCCCATCTCTACTAAAAATACAAAAAATTAGCCGGGCATAATGGCGGGCACCTGTAATCCCAGCTACTTGGGAGGCTGAGGCGGGAGAATCGCTGGAACCCAGGAGGCAGAGGTTGCAGGGAGCCAAGATCACGCCATTGCACTCCAGCCTGGGTGACAGAGCGAGACTCCGTCTCAAAAAAAAAAAGAAAAAAAAGTTAAAGTGTATGGCTGGGTCTTCATAACATCTTTCACCTTGCCCAGGCGACTCAGAGCTGTCTGCCTTGGTGGATAGAATCCCTTCCACTGTGGGCTAGCAGCCTACCCTGGCCACTGACACCACACCATGTAGGAAAGAATCGCCACCACCAAGAAGGGACCTCTGATGTCTGTACAGGCTGTGTGCTGGCTGATGACTTGGCTGCCCAGTCCTGTCTGCTGCTGGCACTGAACCGGACATCTCCAGGCTCCACCTCTTGAACCATGGATCCCAGCATTGTCAGCAATGAGTACTATGATGTTGCCCGTGGATGCACAAGATCCAGTGGGACCCCACTTCCCTGCAGGACATCACTGCTGTCCTGGGTACGGAAGCATATACTGAGGAAAACAAATCAATAGTGTCCCATGCACAGAAAAGCCAGCATTCTTGGCTCAGCCATTCCAGGTGGCTGAGGTCTCCACAGGTCACATGGGGAAACTGGGACCTCCGAATAAGACCATCCAAGGGGCTGGGCGTGGTGACTCACGCCTGTAATCCCGGCATTTTGGGAGGCCGAGGCTGGCAGATCACGAGGTCAGGAGATCGAGACCATCCTGGCTAACACAGTGAAACCCCATCTGTACTGAAAATACAAAAAATTAGCTGGGCATGGTGGCGGGCGCCTGTAGTCCCAGCTACTCGGAGGCTGAGGCAGGAGAATGGTGTGAACCTGGGAGGTGGAGCTTGCAGTGAGCCGAGATCACGCCACTGCACTCCAGCCTGGGCAACAGAGCGAGACTCTGTCTCAAAAAAAACAAAAAAAAAAACAAAAAAGACCATCCAAGGACTCCAGCAGTTTCTGCCAGGTGAACCCAGCCGTCTCCCAGAACAGACCTTCTATGGGGTGGGATTCTAAGTTGCTGGAAGGACGTGCATGGGGCATAATTTTAGCAAACTTAGTCCCCCTCCTCCATCTCTCCGTCTCCTCTCTCTGAATCCAGGGAGCTCTAGTTTTGTGACAGCCTTGGTTGAAACCATTGTGTTCTGTCTGAAGAATATTTAAAGTTTCCAATCAAGTGTACATCCCTCAAAAAAACAAAGTGGGCTTGGCATGGTGACTCACACCTGTAATCCCAGCTCTTTGAGAGGCCAAGGCAGAAGGACCACTTGAAGCCTGGAGTTCCAGACCAGCCTCGGCAACACAGCGAGACCCCAAACTCTCTATATATCTATACATAAAATAAAATTTAAAAAACAAGGTGTAGGGACAGGGTAGGGACTCGGTAAATGTTGGCGGGGACCCTCCTTGCCCCTCACCCATGGCAGCTCCTTGAAGAGAGGTCCTGCCTTCTCTCACCCCTAGCCTCCCGCTGCAAGGAGGTGGTGGCCTGGGACGTCATCTGTGCTCCTTGCACTTTCTGGGGCTGGGGTCCCAGCACTCCACCAGAGGACCTTTCCTGAGCAGGCAGCTCCCTCTCCAGTCTCACTGCGCCGCCCAGGGTGCCTGGCCAAACCATGCGACTTTCAGGCTTGCAGGATCAGGATGTGGCCACCAGGGGGTAGCAGAGCCTCTGCTGTGAGTATCTGAGGGAGTGTTGGGGCGGGGGATTCCAGGCTCCGATGTGAGATCTAACTCCCAGAGCTGGGAAGCTCCCTATATTTCCTGCCATATTTTCTGCTGCATTCCCAGAGGACAGGCCGTGGGAGGTGATTCCAGGGGGACTTGAGCTCTCCTCCCAAGGCCATCTATGGGGTGTGTATGTACCGGGTGCCTGCTTGTGGGCTGCTCCAGTCACTCTTCCTCTAGGGCAGGGGAGCCAGAGCTGCAGATTCTGGCCTCTGAGTGCTCACCGGCACCGGCTGGTGTTTATTTGCCAGAGATTGATATTCTTGAGGGATGATCCATTTCACTAGGGCCAGGAAAACAACAGCTTGCAGGACTGTGGTTTCCCAGCACCGGCTGCAGGCAGCCTGGTCTGGCTGCTCCCAGGGCATGCCCCACCCTGTGCACGACTGCCTGCCATCCTGCCCCTGGGGGCAGCCTCCACCTCCCCCACCATGGTCACTGCAGGACTGACCCTGTACACCTGGTCCCCTGGGCCTCTTGGGATCATAGCCCTGTCTGTGGCAGCCTCAACCCTCCTACCTGGCACGACTCCCCCAACTCCTCGCAGAGGTGCTCTTCTCTCTTCCCTCCCAGTCTGGATGCTCAGAGTCAGCACCCCGAGTCCTTCTGCCTGTCCCCAAAGTCCTCAGCCTCAGGATGTGACCCCAGCTGAGCCCAGGCCAGCTCACAGAGTGCCCCGGGGCAGGAGGCAGCCCCCCAGAACCCCCATCCTGCCATCCTGCCTCTTCTCCTCACTTCCTGCTCCCCCAGGCGGAGACAGACCTGTGAACCTCACGCCACCCTCAGCTCGTCTCTCCTGAAGCTGAAGCCCCTGCCCAGCCCGACCCCTTCTCCTGCCTGCCCGCCTTAGAGGACCCTGGTTTGCTCCACCAGCATCTACCCTCGCTCTTTCCCCGGTGCCTCCGCCCACCGATTCCTTCCTCCTCCTTCCCCCGCCCCACCCCCCTGCACTAATAGGCTCAGTGTCTCGGGAAGGATCCTGGGGCAAATAACCACTTGGAGAGCCAAGGGGTGAGAGGTGCAGCTGGCGATGCTGACAGAGAGCTGCGGGGACCCTCAGGAAAAGCCACAGGTGACCCAGGACTCAGGGCCCCAGAGCATGGGGCTTGAGGGACGAGAGACAAGTAAGCCATCTTGAAGTACGGTGTGCTGGGTCAGGTGGGAAGGCAGAAGGGAACAGGAGGCAGGTTAGGGACCTAGAGGGTGGAGTAGGGGCCGAAGCTGAGAGTGAGTGAGCAGTGAGCCCCCGGGCTGCAGCAGGAAACGAAAAACTGGAGTTCTACCTGAAAGAGACGTGCAGTGTGGTTTCAGGGGAACAGGGGCCAGAGTGGAAGGTGCTCATCCTAGACCGGCCACCTTACCCCTGTGGACTCAGTTTCCCCATCTGTGGACCTGGGCCATTCCAGCTTTAGTGGTGCTCACCTCTGAAGAGGGTCTGGGGGTCCTAGCAACAGCCTCTCCTTAGAGGGGGACAGCTGTTGAGTGGAGCTGTGCAGCCCTGGGGCCTCCACTGTGGGCCTCCCAGAGAGGTCCCTGTGTGTGGCCAGTGTCACCTGGGTCAGAATTGCCCAGATGCTGATGACAAGCACAGCTGCTGTGACCCCGCTTCAGACCCTCTGGCCCAGCCCGCCCAGAGGAGGCCCAGGAGCCTGCATCTCCACAAGTGCCCCCATGATCCTGTTTCAGAGCCCCTGCTAGGCAGGGTGAGGACCCATGGGGAGCAGTGTCTCTATGGCAGCAGACCGTGCTGCCATGGACTTCACATCAGTGAGGGAGCCGGGCCACTGAGGGAGTGGGGTGAGGTGCGGTGGGGGTGAGGGTGGTCTCGGCAAGAATTCTCACAGCAACAGACAGTGCACTCAGCTGGGTCTGACTAGAGGGTCTGCACAGAGCAGGGTGCCTAGAAAGACCCCAGGTCAGGGCGGGGCTGCTGCCCAGCCAGGTTAGAAATAGACCAGAGGCTCTGACTCTGCCCGTCCTCCCCTTCTAGCTGGCCAGCCACGAGTGACCCTGCTGCCCACACCCAACGGCAGCGGGCTGAGCCAGGAGTTTGAAAGCCACTGGCCAGAGATCCCAGAGAGGTCCCCGTGTGTAGCTGGCGTCATCCCTGTCATCTACTACAGTGTCCTGCTGGGCCTGGGGCTGCCTGGTGAGTGGAGAGCTGGGGTCTGGGGACTTGGGCTTGGCCAGAAATGGGGATCCTTCTTCAATGGGTGCCAGTCCTCTGTGTTAACCCCTGAGGCCCTGGATCATAGACCCCTGGTCTTTCCTTGCCATTGTCAGGGTGTTCTGGGTCACTGGGGAGTAAAAGTAAGGGGCTAGGATTGGGGGTACTCACGGCTAAACCCAAGTTTTCCCCAGCAGTGAGCACCCTCTTAGGATAGCAAAATTCACATAGGAACTGGCTGAGCTCAGTACCAAGCTCCCTGTGCTGCCCATGCCTTCAGAGAGCAGAGCTGGGGGCAGAGGTAGGTGCACGGATATGGGAAGAATGGGTGGTCGTCTCGGCCCTGGGGCTTTCTCCAAGTCTGATAGCTAAACCCATGTCTGTGTCCAGGGACGCCTCCACTCTGGAGGATACAGAAAACCTAAAAAGGACTTGAAGGACAATGCCATAGGACAGGTGGCTTCTCTTTTATTTATTTATTTATTTATTTATTTATTTATTTATTTATTCGAGATGGAGTCTCGCTCTGTCACCCAGGCTGGAGTGCAGTGGTGTGATCTCAGCTCACTGCAGCCTCCGCTTCCCAGGTTCAAGTGATTCTCCTGCCTCAGCCTCCCAAGTAGCTGGGATCATAGGCATGCACCACCATGCCTGGCTAATTTTTAATAGAGATGGGGTTTCTCCATGTTGGTCAGGCTGGTCTGGAACTCCTGACCTCAGGTGATCTGCTCACCTTGGCCTCCCAAGGTGCTGGGATTACAGGCGTGAGCCAGCAAGCCCAGCCAGGACAGGTGGCTTCTGAGGACACCCTGCCATGTGCACTTACCTGTGTATAACTGGGGTACAGGCCAGTGGCTTGCAGTGGATGGACAGGGCAGAGGTGGCCTGGGTTGCCTTCTGGGCAAAGTGGGGTTTCAGAAGGATCCGGAAGGAGAAAAAACAGAAGCCAGCACAGCCTCTGCACACGCAGATGGGGAGGGGCGATGGCAACACCTTGGAAAGCAGAGTCTGAACTCTCTTCTGATGCCTCTGCCTCTCCCCTCCCTGACCTTGGCTGCCACCAGTCAGCCTCCTGACCGCAGTGGCCCTGGGCCGCCTTGCCACCAGGACCAGGAAGCCCTCCTACTACTACCTTCTGGCACTCACGGCCTCGGATATCATCATCCAGGTGGTCATCGTGTTCGCGGGCTTCCTCCTGCAGGGAGCCTTGCTGGCCCGCCAGGTGCCCCAGGTTGTGGTGCGCATGGCCAATATCCTGGAGTTTGCTGCCAACCACGCCTCAGTCTGGATCGCCATCCTGCTCACAGTTGACCGCTACACTGCCCTGTGCCACCCCCTGCACCATCGGGCCGCCTCGTCCCCAGGCCGGACCCGCCGGGCCATTGCTGCTGTCCTGAGTGCTGCCCTGTTGACCGGCATCCCCTTCTACTGGTGGCTGGACGTGTGGAGAGACGCCGACTCACCCAGCACTCTGGATGAGGTCCTCAAGTGGGCTCACTGTCTCACTGTCTATTTCATCCCTTGTGGTGTGTTCCTGGTCACCAACTCGGCCATCATCCACCGTCTACGGAGGAGGGGCCAGAGTGGGCTGCAGCCCCGGGTGGGCAAGAGCACAGCCATCCTCTTGGGCATCACCACACTGTTCACCCTCCTGTGGGCACCCCGGGTCTTTGTCATGCTCTACCACATGTATGTGGCCCCTGTCCACCGGGACTGGAGGGTCCACCTGGCCTTGGATGTGGCCAACATGGTGGCCATGCTCAACACGGCAGTCAACTTTGGCCTCTACTGCTTTGTCAGCAAGACTTTCCGGGCCACTGTCCGACAGGTCATCCACGATGCCTACCTGCCCTGCACTTTGGCATCACAGCCAGAGGGCATGGCGGCAAAGCCTGTGATAGAGCCTCCGGGACTCCCCAGAGGGGCAGAAGTGTAGAGAAAGGGGCCCAGCTGGGGAGCTCAGGGTGGCTCATGGCCACATGTACTGGGGCCTTTGAGGTTGTGCTCAAAAAACGTTTATCAACACCTTGCTTTCCTTGGGTGGGGGTGAGGCTACTCGTTTGGGTGTGGCTCCCAGGTAGAGAGGAGGACAACTTAACCGATGCTCACATTTGCTTCACCAGCAATCCCTATTTCCTGGGAAGATGAAAGGGCACTGCCAGGAACAGGCTAATAACATCAGTGCTGTGGGCATTCCTTTAAGGGGGGCATTTTGCCTGGCTCATCATGAATGCAGATACATGTTGGTTGAACGGATGGAAAAATGGACAGAAGGATGGATGGATGGATGGAAGGATGGATGGATGGATGGATGGATGGATGGATGGATGTGAATTGTCTCCAGCCCACCCCCCTTTCCTGGTGCCTGTCTCTCATTCCCTGAATGGATCACCTCTCCAGCTCCCAGTGGCAATGCCAAGAGTTTGAAAAGGAAGATATCTTCAGGACTTAAAGCATTTCTTAGGCTGGGGGAATCAAAGAGGTTGAGCTGAGCAATGGGAGGGGACTGCTTGGGGGACAAAAGCCCCCAGGGCCAGCCAGAAAGGGGTGATCTTAAATCAGATGTGAGGAGCCCAGGCCCATGTCTGTCCAGCCACAGGAGACACAGCCCCATAGGTCTCAAACACGCTGGTTCGATTCCACATTACTCCCTGCCCTAAGCCAGAACAGGTTCATGGGCCCAGAACCAGCACTGGGGCTGTAGTTTTTGTTGTTGCCAATGAGGAGAAAGAAAATGGTCCCTTAACCCAGGGTCCTAGGAGAACAGGAAAGGAGGACCTAGCTGGAGATGACCCTGAGATTCTGCTGAGCGACCCGAGTCCACACCCCTTGGGGAAAGGTCTTTTCCTCCACCAATGGGAAGCGGGAGTTGGCAGAGCCGATCAGGGCCATGAGGAGCCCTGCTCAGCACCTCCAGCCTCTCCAGGGAACCTCTCCAGGGCCCCTCTCTCGTCTCAGCACCACCATCCCAGAGAGGCAGCTGGGAGGCATTAGCAGATGGAACTCCCACCTGCTCAGGCTGTGGGTAAACACATTAGCGCTCAGCCAGTACCACTTTCTGCTTCCTGGTCAGGCTGAGCTGACCTTTGTCCTGAATGGGAGGTTCAGACCTGCCCCCACCCTCTTAGTGGGATGACATCAGTGAAAGAGCTGTTTGTGCTCCCAGCACACAGTCAATGCAGAATCAATGCTCCCAGCACACAGTCAATGCAGAATCAATGCTTGGCTTTCCACTTTGCCTCTCTGCTTCTCCCCAGAGCAGGGATGTCCAGATGGGGAGGTTCAGCTAACCCAGAAAGAGGATAATGTGGGTCTCCAATGTGTTAGCCATGATTCTCAACTCCAAAAAGCTCTGAAAACCAAAACATGTTTCCAAACTTTGCCACAAACACATTTAGTGGCACAATGTGACCTGAACTGATGTGAGGTGATTTTTGGTCCTGATGTTGTCCTGTGATTGTGAATCCTGCCAGCCGCACCCGGGACTGCTAGTGGAGTGATCATGCACGGCTGTCCACAACCCACAGATTGTGATCGAACACACACCACTAGATCCACACAGCACCTTCCTCTGCTCTGACATATTCTGAATTCCAAGACACATGTGGTGCCGAGTTCAGAGAAAGGATTGAGGACCTGTAAACCCAACATTTCTGCTCCAGGATGGTCTACACTGACCCTGAGCAGTTGTTGAGGATTGAGGAACCCCCGCTGCCCGCACCTCCATGTGCACACACAGATGTGTCCCCAGGCAGGGGACAATGTCGGCCCCAGCCCAGCCTGAGCCTGCCCTACAGAAGCGGACACGAGAAGAAAGCACAAAGTTCCATGGATGAAGAACTAAATAGAACAACCTGCAGGGACCCTGCAGGAGAGAACCCAGTATCAGGGAAGAGCATCTGTGTCTCCATGGGTGGCAACAGCAGCTGGGTCTAGGCCAGAGACAGGATGCCTTCCTCAGCTGTCTTGGGGGGCTGTCTTCCAGGAGGCCACCTGTAAGATTGGCTCACCTGTCTCTGAGCACCAGTGAAACCAGGAACTTCCAGAAACTGTTGGGGAGGCTCTTTCAAGACACAGTTTTGTTTTGTTTTGTTGACATGAAGTCTCACTCTGTCACCCAGTCGCTCAGGCTGGAGTGCAGTGGCGTGATCTCAGCTCACTGCAACCTCCGCCTCCCGGGTTCAAGTGATTCTCCTGCCTCAGCCTCCCGAGTAGCTGGGACTACAGGCGCCCACCACCACATCCAGCTAATTTTTGTATTTTTAGTAGAGACGGGGTTCCACCACGTTGGCCAGGCTGGTTGAGACAATTTTGCATTGAGCCACCATAACCCTGGTGTTAATATTCCTATAACTTCACTTATACCAACAGGCTAGGGCAATATCCGTGTTTTCAAACACCCCTGCATCCGGAGTATTGGAACTGTTTTACAAACTTAGGAAATTGAGACATAGAGAGATTAAACGGTATGCCCCTAGCCCAGAGCTGCTCAAGAGCAACGCTGAGACTCAAACCCAAGTCTGCTGGTTCCTGGTCCATTGTCTGTTCCACCCCACACCTTGCAGGTGCTCTCAGATGTAGAAGATTAGAGGCAAAGAGGCAAATCACTCTCGGGGATCTTTTGCATTGCTTAGAACTTTCTAGTGCTGGGCTTATCAGAGTTGAGAATCAGTATCACATTTTCCTAATAAAATGCATTAGGTGATCAGGCACAGTGGCTCACACCTGTAATCTCAGCACTTTGGGAGGCAGAGGTGGGAGGATCACTCGAGGTCAGGAATTCGAGACTAGCCTGGCCAACATAGTGAAACCCCATCTCTACTAAAAAGCCCAAAAACTAACTGGGCGTGATGGTGGGTACCTGTAATTCCAAGTACTCGGAGGCTGAGGCAGGAGAATCACTTGAATCCAGGAGACGGAGGTTGCAGTGAGCCAAGATTGCACCATGGAAGCACCATGGAACTCCAATCTGGGCAACAAGAGTGAAACTTCAACTCAAAACACACACACACACACACACACACACACACACACACACACACACACACACACACACACACACGGTAACAGTTTCTTTCTAGCATTTGTGTAACCTTTAATAAAATGAAGTGATAATCGCCTTGGTAAGCATGTCACTGAAATGTAAATGAAAAGTATTATTAAATCTGCCACTCTCTCAACTGGCTTCTAGAGGAGAGAAAGACTTAAATGGTTTCAGTTTATTGTTCTTCCCTTCTCCCTCCATACCCTACCCACCCATCTGCTGAAATATCTTAGCTAAAGAAAATCCTTTTTGAGATTCTGAGTTTCTTTCCTAACAATTCCCTCCACACGTTTGATGTGCTGGTTGATCTTACTGTCTATCAATCATCCTTTGTTAATATCTGAGGATAGTTATTGCTCACGTGTCTTTCATTTCTTCCCAAGCCTATGTATGATTTTTGCTGTTTGGAAGTTGGTTGACAAATTGTTTCCTGGACTCTATTAGTTTTTAAGCGTTGCCATAACAAAATACCACAGACTGGGTGGCTTAAACAACACCCAAGTTTTTGTTCGTTTGTTTGTTTGTTTTGGGGATGGAGTCTCGCTCTGTCGCCCAGGCTGGAGTGCAGTGGCACAATCTCGGCTCACTGCAACCTCCACCTCCTTTGTTCAAGTGATCCTGCTGCCTCAGTTTCCCAAGTAGCGAGGACTACAGGCGCACATTACCACGCCCGGTTAATTTTTGTATGTTTAGTAGAGACAAGGCTTTCACATGTTGGCCAGGCTGGTCTCGAACTCCTGACCTCAAGTGATCCACCTGCCTCAGCCTCCCAAAGTGCTGGGATTACAGGCGTGAGCCACCATGCCTGGCGAGAAATGTGTTTTCTTACAATTCTGGAGGCTGGAAGTTCAAAACAATGTATCGACCAAATGTAGTGACTCACACCTATCATCTCAGCAATTTTGAAGGCTGAGGCAGGGGGATCACTTGAGCCCAGGAGTTCAATACCAGGCTAAACAGCATAGCAAGACCCTGTCTCTACAACAAATACAAAAATAGCTGGATGTAGTGGAGGATCACCTGAGCCTAGGAGGTCGAGGCTGCAGTGAGCCAAGACCACGCCACTGCACCCCAACCTGGGCGACAGAGTAAAGGGTGACCTTGTCTAAAAAGAAAAAGAAGAAGGTGTTAGCAGCTTGGGTTGCTTCTGAGGCCTCTCTCCTTGCCCTGCAGAAGGCCACCTTCTTCTCCCTGTGTCCCCACATGGCCTTCCCTCCATGCACACCTCCAGTGTCCCTGTATGTCCTAATCTTTTCCTATAAAGACGCCAGTCAGGTTGGATGAGAGCACACTCTAACAGCCTCATTTGAACTTCATCACCTTTCAAGGCCCTATCTCCAAATGCAGTCCCATTTTGAGGTACTGGGGATTAGGTCTTCAACATATGAATTTGGTTTGGGGGAAACTATGGGTATTTTAAAGACAAATGTTCCTTGGCTGTGGATCCAGGCTTTAATAAAAGTCACTTTTCTCTTGGCTGTATACGAACTGTCCCCACCTTTCTCTTCTCCTTGGCTGGCGTAACGGGACTCAAAGCCAGTCTCGTATCTTTAAACATGATCTCTCCTTTCTTCCTGGAAGATCTTGAAGTTTTTGAAGATTCAACCTTGTTGAACAGGTACCTGGAGGCGGGTCTGTTAATTTCCACACGGAGAGTATCTTTTCATTCAGAAAAGGTTCTTTTCTTTCTTTTCTCGTTCTCTTCCTTCCTCCCTCCCTCCCTCCCGCTCTCCCTCCCTTCCTTTCTCTCTCTCTCTCTCTCTCTCTCTCTCTCTCTTTCTTTCTGAATGGGGGTTGCACCATGTTGCCCAGGCTGCTCCTGAACTCCTGGGCTCAAGTGATGTGTCTGCCTCTGCCTCCCAAAGTGCTGAAATTACAGCCTCTTTTCCTTTTTTGAGACAGGGTCTCCTCTGCCACCCAGGCTAGAGTGCAGTGGCACGACCACAGCTCCCTGCAGACTCAACCTCCCAGGCTCAAGCAATTCTCTGGCCTCAGCCTCCCAAGTAGCTGGGACCGCAGGCATGCATCACCCACCATGCCTGGCTAATTTTTTTTTTTTTTTTTTTTTTTTTTTTTTTTGTAGAGACGAGGTCTCCCTATGTTATCCATGCTGGTCTCCAACTCGTCAGCTCAAGCAATCCTCCTGCATCAGCCTCCCAAAGTGCTGGGATTACAGGCATGAGCCACGGCACTGGCCTTCTTGATTTTCTCAGTCACAATTGGGTTTCGGGCCCCCTTTTCCCTCGGCCACCAGCAGGATCTCTGGTGGGGTGTCCTGCTGCTGCTGGCACCTTTTCTGTGTTCCTCATTGCTCAGACCTCAAGCAGCTGTTTCCCTCTGTTGGGTTTCCCAGTTGCTCCGGTTTGCAATGCTATCACTGCACACTCCCCCTTAGCAGCATGTTGCTTTCTTTTTCTTTCTTCTTCTTTTTTTTTTAATGAGATGGAGTCTTGCTCAGTTGCCAAGGCTGGAGTGCAGTGGCGTGATCTCGATCTTGGCTCACTGCAACCTCCGCCTCCTGGGTTCAAGCTATTGTCCTGCCTCAGCCTCCCAAGTAGCTGGGATTATAGGTGTGTGCCAGCACACACACACACACACACACACACACACACACACATTTTTGTATTTTTAGTAGAGATGGGATTTCACCATGTTGGCCAGGCTGGTATCGAACTCCCGACCTCAGGTGATCTGCCCACCTCGGCCTCCCAAAGTGCTGGGATTATAGGCGTGAGCCACCATGCCTGGCCTTAGCAGCATGTTTCTTTTTGTCTCTGGAATGGATATCAACACACCCAGGTTGCTTCCGGGGCATGGTCTCAGGCCCCACTGCACGCACAGCCTCCGCCCATCTCTCTGACTCCCATGCCCACTTTAGTCCTCCCCGATGAGTGCTCTGCTCCTCTACCCCTTCCCCTCTTTTTTTCAGTCTGAAAGAGGAGGCATGCTGGCTGGATAAAAGGGAGCCACATCTGTCGCTTCTGCTCTGGGATCTTTCATAGGAGCTCAAGTCCACAGACATGAGTGTCCCTTGATTCTGACAAGGCGACAAGGCTCCCTTCCTCTCGCCATGCCCGGGCCTAGGAGATGGCTTACCAGTGGTGGGGTGGGTGACATGATGGAGACAGGGAGACAAGCTTCCAGAGGGATCATGCAGAATCCGTTCAGCACCCTGGCCCAGAGAGCAAGATCATATTTTCCAAATTAAGCATTTAGCCAGCTGGGCACAGTGGTTCAGGCCTATAACCCTAGCACTTTGGAGGCAAGGCAGGAGAATGACTTGAGACCAGGTGTTTGAGACCAGCCTGGGCAACGTGGTGAAACCCTGTCTCCACCAAAAATACAAAAAAGAAAACAAAAATTAGCCAGGCATGGTGGTGGGCACCTGTAATCCCAGCTGCTCGGGAGGCTGAGGTCGGAGGATCACTTGAGCCCAGGAGTCTGAGGCTGCAGCAAGCTGAGATCACACCACTGCACTCCAGCCTGAACGACAGAGCCAGACCGTCTCAAAAAAAGAAGAAAACATTGAGCCCTTTGGTTGGCCAGATGACAGAGGTGCTGGCTGGCAGGGACCAAGGGACAGCCTTTGGCATGGGGGTGTCTTGGAAATCGTTCCTCCCTGGCCTTCTTGTCGGTGAGGGTGGCCTGAGCTCCCTGGCTGGTTTTCTGCCCATCTTCCCTTTTTGCATGTCCCTGTCAGCTCAGACAGCAGGGGGTGCTGCAGGACTGGCTGGACGATCAGGCCATGGAGTGGGAGGGCAGGCCTCGAAGCCAGGTTCAAAGGAAGATCCGAGTTACTGCAAAGAAACAGCCTGCCCTGGGCCAGCAGCCAGCACCAACTAGTTGGGTGAGAAGGCTTTGTACCCTCTGTCAGTCTCCTCCACCCTAAAGCCACGTCTGCCAAGCTGGGGTTGGCCAGCCCCGGGGCTACAGGGCCCTGCAATTTTCTCAGATGACTTTGGTGGTTTCCTGTGCACAGTGGTGTGAAGGGCCTCTCTCATCATTCATCCTCCTCCTCTCTCCACTCTCCTCGGCAGGGTCCCGCCAGCCCCTCCTGCTGGCCTCAGGTTCTGCTCCCCTGCCCTCCCCACTCTGGGGAGCTTGGCCTGCCAGGCTGCAGAGCCCCAGGGCTTCAGTCAGAGTTTCTGGGGTCTGGCTGGCCCCACCACCCAGTAGTTCCACCTGGATCCACCCAGGTCAGTGGTTCCTGTGCACCGCAGCTTTAGGCATCCTGCCCTCCAAGAGTGTTTGGGCCTTGGCAGGAGTCCCACCCAACAGGGTAGGGAAAAGGTCAGGAAGGTGAGGAGAGGGAGATGGCCAAAGCCCGGGGTGGGTCATGAGCAGTGGCGGACAGGGAACCCTGGGGGGCTGTTCCTGGAGATGGCCTAGAGCTGACACCCTCCCTCTGTCACCAGGCAGAAGCGGGAGAGTCTTTTCCCCTCCCTGCTTCCCCCCACCCCAACCCTCTCCAGTCCGCCACCCCCCAAACCTAGACAGCAGGGCCTGGTGAACCCCTGGGGTGCCTTTCAGGGGGCGCACAGGCAGCTCTCAGTGAGGGGCCATGCTGGGTGCTGCCACTCGGGAAAGAGGGCAAGGTGAGGGGTAACCCAGAGCCCTGCCTTGAGTCACCCACCTCCTCCATCTGAGGCCTGCACACCTCACTTCAGGGGCCTGGGAAGAGGCCCACCTGGGGGAAGGTGCGTTCCCTGCCTGGCCTCCCTCACCTTCTCTTGAAAAGAGCGTTGAGGTCTTCTTTCAGTTCTTTCTAGAGAAAGTGGGTCAGGGCCTGACTTTGCCAGATGATTGCCATGAGATTTGAGCTTTCCTGACTCAGTTTCCTCCTTCTGAACAGTGGAGGTGGCCTGGGTGGGTGGGGACAGTAAGGGCACTCGGGGTCTCTTTCTCACAGACCAGCCCCCTCCCAGAATCCCAGGACCCCTTCCTCCCAGCCTGGTGTGAGGGGCCGAGTTCTCGACATCCCCCAGCTGATCCTGGACGGGGGCTCCTCTAGTCTGGACTTGGGTACCCCCACTTCCCACTGCTCCTTCCAGCCTGCCCTCTCTCCACGGTGCTGGAGGTGAAAGAGTTAATCACATCTGTGGTGGCTCCTTCCTGGACTCCTCCAAGATATATATTTAGCAGGCGGGGCGGGGTAGGGCGGGAAGGGCATGCCAAAATGCCCTGGCACCGCAGCCCCTGCCTTACCACACTGCTCTTCAGAGGGAGGGGTGCGCAGGCAGTGCCACGGGAGCCGGGTAGGATGGAGGAGGGGACCTATCTAAATGGAGGGAAGGGGCAGGTATGTGAGTTGGCTTTAAGTGGCTTTAACCACAGCCTAGGGAAGGCTGTGGTCTCAGAGAGGACTTTGAGGCCCTGCGTGTGGGGTTGGGGGAGGAGGTTGCTCTATATCCATGAAAGAAGGGCCCAATGACTCTGTCTCCTAGGGAGGTAGAAGGATTGTGAAAAAGGGCTGGAAACAGCTTAATGGGGAAGGTGATGGGGCAGGGCCGGCTGGAAGAGCTCCTACCACCTATTGAAATGGCTGGACCCCTGACCAGGGGGCACCGTAGGAGCACAGCCCTGGCCAGTCCAGGCGACCACCCTCTCAGAGCTGCGCTTTCATTCTGGGACAGCGGCTCTGGTGTGGCCAGTGGAGACAGGGCCAGACAGGTTTTCTACATCCTCCTTGGAGAGTATTTTCAAGGACTCTGCCCTCGGGGAGAGCAATGTATTCAGTAGAAAACCACTAGGCGGGACTGGTTGCTAAGGGCTGTATTTTGACTTTAAGTAGGGAAACCTGTGAATCACCTTATTCCAGTTCCTCCAAGTACCTGGGACCTCTGGAGGTTCAGTTCACAGGGAAGATGTTTGGTTTGCTTGCTTGTTTTTTCAACAGGAGTGCCTGTACCCTTGCCTAGGACCGAAGGATAACTCTGCAGATCTTGACTTTCCAGCCCCAGGATTGTCCCCAGGGGCCAGGACAAAGGGCTTGGCCCTATTGGCTTATCTCCACGGCTCCTCCTTTCTTCTTCTTCCCAGGTGAATGGATCAGCTCAGTTAGACCCAAGAGAGCCTCCTGCTTGTCCTAGACCTCATTTTCCCAACCCAGTGGCATTCCAGCCACACCTGCTAAGGCCTTGGGTACCTGCACACCAGAGTAGCAGCTCCTCCAGCCGGCAGAGAAAGACTTCATTTGCCACAGTCAGCAGCAGCCCACTCGGGAAGCAACCCAGGGTCCGCTTGCCACCCAGCCATGCCAGCTGATCCCCTAACCAGGGGGCATCACTTTTCTAGAACTTTCTGGGTCATGAACCCTCAGGGAGGCAGCTAATGCAACCCTTTCCCAAAGGGCCCTCTCCTAGTACCTGCAAATTATAAGGACACTATTTGACTTGATATTATTTCCAGAGGAAAATAAAAGTAAGTTAATAAAGGCACGTAAGCTGCTCTGTGATTTGAAGCAAAGCACGTACAAAAGCCCAGGATTCCAGGCCCTTCCGCCACACCCACTCACCATGTGATCTTGAGAGAGTCCTTTCTAATCTCAGAGTCTCAGTTATCTGACTTGCAAAATGCAAGTTGAGCTAGATGAAATCTGTGGCCACTTTTATTACCCAACTTCATGAAGGCACGGTGGTTCATGCCTGTAATCCCAGCACTTTGGGAGGCCTAGGCCTGTAATCCCAGCACTTTGGGAGGTGAGCAGTTCAAGACCAGCCAGGTCAACATGGTGAAACGCCATCTCTACTAAAAATACAAAAATTAGCTGGGCGTGGTGGCGGGTGCCTGTAATCCCAGATGCTGGTCGGGGAACCGGGGGTGTGGTGCTGAGATGGGAGAATCGCTTGAACCCGTGAGGCAGAGGTTGCAGTGAGCCCAGATCTTGCCACTGCACTGCAGTCTGGGTGACAGAGGGAGACTCCGTCTTTAAGAAATAATTTAATTAATTAGTTAAATGTTGCCAAACTTCAATTCTCCGTGAAGCACCTAAGCCTTAGTTCAGAGTAGAAGTAGGAGAAACAAGAGTTCGCCGTTGGAGGCACCTAGCAGAATACAGACAGCCTGTGAGCGTCTCCATGTGCCAGGCACTGGGTTCTGTGTTTTTTGTCTGTTTTTCTTTATTTAGAGGCGGGGTCTCGCTATATTGCCCAGGCTAGTCTTGAACTCCTGGCCTCAAGCAATCCTTCGGCTTCTGCCCCCAAAAGTGCCGAGATTATAGGCATAGGCCACCACACCCACCTCCCGGGCTCAGTTTCTTTCTTTCTTTTTGTTTTTTGAGATGGAGTTTCACTCTTGTCACCCAAGCTGGAGGGCAATGGCACCATCTCGGCTCACTGCAACCTCCGCCTCCCGGGTTCATGTGATTCTCCTGCCTCAGCCTCTCAAGTAGCTGGAATTACGGGTGCCCGCCACCACGACCAGCTAATATTTGTATTTTTAGTAGAGACGAGGTTTCACCACGTTGGCCAGGCTGGTCTCGAACTCCTGATCTCAGGTGATCTGCCCGCCTTGGCCTCCCAAAGTGCTGGGATTACAGCCACGAGCCAGTGCGCCCTGCCAGGCCTAGTTTCTTTTTTTTTTTTTTTTTTTTTTTGAGACGGAGTCTCGCTCTGTCGCCCAGGCTGGAGTGCAGTGGCCGGATCTCAGCTCACTGCAAGCTCCGCCCCCCAGGTTCACACCATTCTCCTGCCTCAGCCTCCCGAGTAGCTGGGACTATAGGCGCCCGCCACCTCGCCTGGCTAGTTTTTTGTATTTTTTATTAGAGACGGGGTTTCACCGTGTTAGCCAGGATGGTCTCGATCTCCTGACCTCATGATCCGCCCGTCTCGGCCTCCCAAAGTGCTGGGATTACAGGCGTGAGCCACCGCGCCCGGCCGCCAGGCCTAGTTTCTTATATGCACTGTCTCATTCCATTCGCACAGTAACCCTACGAGGCAGGAATTCTTGTCATGTCCATTTTATACGTGGACATACTGAGGGCCAGAGAGTTTAAGCAATATGCCCAAAGAACACTAGTTAGTCGGGGAAGCAGGATTTGAATCGGCCTGTTGCTCTCTGGCTTCTGTACATCTAGCCATTGTGTGCAAGGCACAGGGAGATGCTAGTGTTAGCAGAGCCTGGATCTAGAAGGCAGCTTCAAGGTGAAGTCAGTCAGTCTTCTGTGCGTCTGAGCACACAGGAGCACATACCCCTTAACTCTAATGCCGGGAGTTAGATAAAACGGTGAGTAGTTTGGTGTGGCCGGGACCCAGTGGGTAGAAAGGGGGTGATGGAAGATAACGTTGGAATGGTAGGCTGGTGCTGACACTGAAGGTCTTCATACAGCACACTGAGCTCCTGATGGTTCTTAGGGGCATGTTCTAGAAAGATCCTGCTGGTGGTATTAGGGAGGATGAACTGATGTGTCAGGAGGCCAGAGATCCCTTAGGAGGCCAGAGGGATAGCCCAGGAAAGAGACAGGGAAGCCAGGGAGGAGCTGGAGGGGCGCCAGATGACTCTGCAGGGTACACTGGGTTTGGAGGAGACCTGGGGGCAAAGGGAGGGAATACTCACACCCTCTGTGGTCCCGGGAGCACTTCTAGGGAGAAGGAGGATGGTGCAAGAGGCTTGGAGAGAGAAGCAGCAGCGCTCCACTCGGTCATGACGTAATCCCCTAGGAGATTTGAGAATAGGGGCTTCAGCTCCCCCTCCCCATGAGCATCCTGTGCCCATGGGGGCTTAGCCCTGGGTCCAGGCTTTCAGAGGTATCCCTCTGGGCTCTGGACATGTACCCAGAGGTGGTCTGAAGGGAAGGGTGGTTGAGATGGATGGAGAGGCACCGCCCTGGCCGGCCTGGTGGCCTGGCCCCACCTCTGAGGCTCTTCTTGCTTGACCCCCTTTGCCGCACTTCTTTCTTTCCCTTTCTTTCTTTCTCTTTCTCTTTCTCTCTTTTTCTTTCTTTCTTTCTTTCTTTCTTTCTTTCTTTCTTTCTTTCTTTCTTTCTTTCTTTCTTTCTTTCTTTCTTTCTCTTCCTTTCTTTCCTTCCTTCTTTCTCTTCCTTTCTTTCCTTCCTTCCTTCCTTTCTTTTTTTTTTTTTTGACAGAGTCTTGTTCTGTCTCTCAGGCTGGAGTGCAGTGGCACAATCTCATCTCATTACAGCCTCTGCTTCCTGGGTTCAAACGATTCTCCTGCCTCAGCCTCCTGTGTAGCTGGGACTACAGGTGCCCACCACCACGCCCAGCTAATTTTTGTATTTTTAGTAGAGACAGGGTTTCACCATGGTGGCCAGGCTCATCTCGAACTCCTGACCTCTCGTGATCCTCACACCTTGGCCTCCCAAAGTGCTGGGATTACAGGCATGAGCCACTGCACCCGGCCTATTTATTTATTTATTATTTATTTGAGACTGAGCCTCACTCTATGGCACAAGCTGGAGTGCTGTGGCGCAATCTCTCCTCCCTGCAAACTCCATCTCCTGGGTTCAAGTGATTCTCCTGCCTCAACCTCCTGTGTAGCTGGGACTACAGGTGCCCACCACCATGCCTGGCTACTTTTTTCTATTTTTAGTACAGACAGGGTTTTGCCATGTTGGCCAGACTGGTCTCGAACTCCTGACCTCAAGTGATCCATCTCAGCCTCTCAAAGTGCTAGAATTATAAGCATGAGCCACTGCGCCTGGACTCCGTTTGCCCCACTTCTGATGCCAAGGGGCGCAGGGGCCTGTCCTTACAGGGCTCGCATGGCTGCATGTGAGGAGGCTGCCCCAAACCAGTGTCCACGCCAGAGCTCAGGTCAGTGGCCTGGAGGAAGCTCCCACGTTGATGTGGAGGCTCCAGCTGCTCTGCTGCCCACGGGCCTCCCACCTCACATTTCTGGAGTTCTGGACTCACCAGCTCTTCCACACTCCCTCACTCCTCTACTCCGACATAGAAATAAGCAGAGAACATGAATGAGAAGGTGCAAAGGCCGTGATTCAGGGCTTGCTGTATAACAAGGGGGCAGCCACCGCCACCTGTGTTTGAGAGGGACTCAAAGGCGGGCGGGGTAGGGAAGCTTTTGGGTGGCATAAGCCAAAAAGTGTCCGTGACAGAACTCGATTGATTTAGAGGATTATTTGCCAAGGTCGAGGACGCAGCAGAGAAAGAGAAACACAAGTTGCAGTAGGATCTGTGGCCTGTGCTTTTTCCAAAGAGTTTTGAGGACTTCAACATTTAAAGAGGGGACCGGGCGTGATGGCTCACACCTACAATCCCAGCACTTTGGGAGGCTGAAGCGGGAGGATCACCTGAAGTCAGAGACCAGCCTGGCCAACATGGTGAAACCCCATCTCTACTAAAAATACAAAAACTAGCTGGGTATGGTGGCGGGTACCTGTAATCCCAGCTACCTGGAAGGCTGAGGCAGGAGAATCGCCTGAACCCAGTAGGCAGAGGTTGCAGTGAGCTGAGATCATGCTACTGCACTCCAGCCTGGGCGACAAGAGCAAGACTCTGTCTCAAAAAAAAATAATAAGTAAATAAAATAAATAAATAAATTTAAAGAGGGAAGAGCAGGCCAGAGGGGAAGGAAGAAAGGAGAAAAGGAGGGCGAGCAGGCAGGAGGGGAAGGAAGAAAGGAAAAGGGAGGACGAGCAGGCAGGAGGGGAAGGAAGAAAGGAAAAAAGGAGGGCGAGCAGGCAGGAGGGGAAGGAAGAAAGGAAAAGGGAGGACGAGCAGGCAATGAGGGAAGTGGTTACATTCTTGTGAGGCTTTGATTAGTACTCAGTGAATCCACATTTTACACATGAAAAGAGGTGTGTTTAATAAATCTGTGTTTTACATAAGATAAAGTAAACATGTGAAATGACAACTGTCTGTTTGGGAACAAAAGGAAGGTAAGTTTTTTTTGTTTGTTTTTGTGTAACTCAGCCAGGCATGGGGGCTCCCACCTGTTATCCCAGCACTTTGGGAGGCCGAGGCAGGGGGCTCACTTGAGCCTAAGAGTTCAAGACTAGCCTGGGCAACATGGCAAAACCCCATCCCTACAAAAAATACAAAATATTAGCCGAGTGTGGTGGCATGCACCTGTAGTCCTACCTACTTGAGAGGCTTGAGGTGGGAGGATCACCTGAGCCAGGAGTTCAAGGATGCAGTGAGCTGTGATCCTTGAACTCCAATTGACTCCACTTGGCCAGGACTTGATTTGTAATTGACAGTTTCCCAAATTCTCATTCCCACTTCCAATTTGTCCCCATTTCCAAGAAAAAGTCAAATATAGGCTGGATGCAGGGGCTCACACCTATGATCCCAGCACTTTGGGAGGCTAATGTGGGTAGATCTCTTGAGCCCAGGAATTTGAGACCAGCCTGGGCAACACAGTGAGACCCCATCTCTACAAAAAATATAAAAATTATTCAGGCGTGATGATACACACCTGTAGTCCCAGCTACCTGGGAGGCTGAGGTGGGAGAATTGCTTAA